TGACAAGTTGTTTTTGTTAACATTAATGCACTGTGAACTAACATGAACTAACAATGAATGAACAACTGTATTTTTATTAAATAATGTTAACAAAGACAAAAATAAATAGTGTAATAAATATATTGTTAATTGTTTGTTCATGTTAGTTAATACATTAACTAATGTTAACAAAGGACACCTTATTGTAAAATGTTACCGACTCTTTTTATGAGGTTAGAAACAGGGCTGAAAGATGAATCGTATTTTCATTGTCATTGCAGTATGAGCGTGTTATTTAGCAATGTGCACCGAAATGTGCTATGAAATAGCAGAGTTGGTGGATTTAGGCGCCAGAGTGCAGAATTCAGCACTCAACAAAACTCTGGCGCTTCAGCGATGGCTCATCTGAACGCCTTTGATTGGCCATTGCATTAATAAACTCAATGGAATCGTATGTTATTGGTTGTAATGCTCACCGCTGTAAAAACAAACAACAAATATTTAGTTTTATTTGCTGGCCCTAATATGCAGAGTTAATTATTTATCACAAGTAATCATCATTGCAAAAAAAAAAAAACTCCACTGTTATCACACACAGCAGAATTTCCTCATATCGTGCAGGACTATTAGAAAGGCAAAACCAATGCAAATCAGTGGATATGTCTGCTATTATAGGATAGGTGTGTTAAGGCCAGTTGGAGCTAACCTCTGCAGGGCATTGGCCCTCCAGGATCTAGTTAGGAGACCCCAGTCCTACAGAGTTGTTACTTTGCACATGCTTTTTGATCATTACAAATAATAATGTAAAATGATTTTCTTAGAATAGGATATATGCCGTCTCTCGCATCACATACATTATCAATAGTTAAGTATGTGGTCTTGAAAAGGATCCTTTTTTTCTCTCATTTGGACTCGGTCTCGACTTGGACTCGAAACTTTTGGACTTGGTCTCGACTAGTCCTGGTCTTGGACTCGACTACAGCTCTAGTTTAGCATCTCAACCGATTTGAATCGTCACATATTTGAATTGATTTTCAGCCGGCTCGCGGTTAATCGTTACATCCCTAGTTCTACTGTATTTTGGCGCTGCGTCCGGTGGAGACATGGTGTTTAATGTCGTTGGTGAGGAAAGCCTGTGTGTGTCCTATGCCTTAGCGGACAGCATGAAACCCACAATAAATAAATAAATAACAGAGAGAGAATAATAATAACAACCGTTATTCTCTCTATGCTATTTTTCAATGTTTCAAGTGATGCAGGTGTTTTTTTCCCTGTAGGTTTTTTTTTATTAAAAAAGCATTAATTTTTCATAACATACTGGCCTGGCCTACAGAAAAGAACATTTGTGTTTAATCTATCTAATCGTGTGTTGGTCATACTATACAATGATTTATAGCTTGTCTTTGTTGAATAATACAGAACATAAAGAGCTTTAAACAATAATTGCATATTAAATCGCAATCGCAATATTGGTAAAAAAAAAATCGCAATTAGATTATTTTCCAAAATCGCTCAGCCCTAGTTACTATTCATAAACCCCGCTGATTTAAAATCCAACAATATAATAATTCCTAGATTTAGCTTTATAATTGTCATGCCTTGCACAGACACATGAAGTCACCAGAGCAGCAGGCGAGCTCGGAATATGGACAAGCTTACATTCAGCGGATGGAAATATTGCTGGTACACTGATATTGTGAGGAGAACAGATGATCTGAACACTGTTGTGTACGTGACGTTACTTTACTCTGCCGCTACACGGCTTGCCCTCATCCCTCTGATCCTGATATACACTGTATTAAACCTTTTTAGAAAATGAAACATTTTCTTATGAACTTATATGATTTATTTTGATCGTGGAATATAATCGTGTATGGGTATAGCAGAGAAACTATAGCTACAATTAGCTACACATGACAATTAATGAGGTTACTACAACACTTTAACTGAAACGTTACTTTGAGAGTCTGTAATAACTTCTGACGGCGATGCAGTGTGGGTTTTGGTGAGGCAGAAATATACTGTTAGTAACATTTCAGAAGAATTGTGTGGGTAAGATACGCAATTACAGCTTCTGTGGGGCGTGAAGGAAAAGTAATGCAATGTAACTAACTACTACTAAAGTAATAAGTGAAGTAATACTATTACTTTTGAAAGGAGTTACATATTAACTGAAATGTCTCACAATATGGCACTTAAAATAAAAAGAGTGTGACTTCCGGTAGACAAAAAACTATTAGAAACTATGAATAATTGTACTGCCTGCAATTAGTAAGCTCTGTTTGAGGTCACACTGACTGTACGGAGCATTAGTATTCAAAACAAATGAATTGCGTGACAATGTGGTCACAGATTACAGCAGTGGCAACACTGTTTCACACTGACAGCACAGAGCAGTTAGCTTGCCTCTGAGGCTCTGCTAGTGCTGCAGATACCTGCCACTCCATGCAATGCATCACGAAACCTAGACTCTACAAGCTGTGCCCAAGCTGTGCCCAAGCTGACCCCAAGCTGTGCCCAAGCTGAGCCCAAGCTGAGCCCAAGCTGTGCCCAAGCTGAGCCCAGATCTCTCAGGGCTATACCATCTCCTGCACTGACAGCTTTTCTGCACATTGGTTCAACATATTCACAAATGTTAAAGGGCAGTGAAAAAACCTAATTTGACTCCTTTCAGAACAGGAATAGGTCACTACTTGTATACGTTCAAAGAAACAAGAAATAACAAAGCACTGTAAATTACTTTAAAGCCTTAAATCTATTCCTTGAATAATTTGTACTTGTTTACAGACGTGTTTTTTTTTAATTGCTTTTCTTATTTAGTTTTTATTTATTTATTTTAAGTATTTGTTTTCATTCAGTTTAAATGTTATTGCCCTTATATATTCTTTGTTCTAAAAATTGCAATAAAAAGCACGACTAAGATGCACTGGACACACGATTGTTTTTCTAATAAACACCAAAACAGCTTGATGCTAGCTCTCGCGGGTCACTGTGTATTAGCATGTACTAATGCTCGTGTTTATATGCGCTTGACCTCGCTCTGCTGAAGTTAATAACCGCGCGACAGCGACAGCGACACGATGAGAAAGCAGATGAACCCGGGCTGCTGAGTAACGATGGCTCGATCTCACCGGATGAAGATCCATCAGTCGCTCATCGTCTGCTCGGTTACCTGAAACGCTGACGATGCAGCGCCGCTTTCCTCGATGTCTTTAAGGCGGAGAGGCACACACGGCACTGTCATTGCCTGACAAACACGGCTGAAATCATAAATAAATACTAGTTACAAATATCACCGGTCCGTGAGAATCGAAAAATCAACAAACGTCAGCGTGTTCCGCGTTGCGTCACATGCGTGCGACCACGAGACTTCCGCGTTGCGTCACATGCGTGCGACCACGAGACTTCCGCGTTGCGTCACATGCGTGCGACCACGAGACTTCCGCGTTGCGTCACATGCGTGCGACCACGAGACTTCCGCGTTGCGTCACATGCGTGCGACCACGAGACTTCCGCGTTGCGTCACATGCGTGCGACCACGAGACTTCCGCGTTGTGCATCTTTCTATAAGCCTGTGTTTGAAAATAAAACAAAGTAAAAATTATGCAATCTTTAACAAGCAGTCTTTTGTAGGCTTTATAAAAATGTTGATAATTTTAAAACTTAATATAGAAATATTGATCATAATTAGAATAACGTTTTATTGTATTTATACTAGTATCTTATATCGCGATTAATCGCAGCCACAAAAGGTTTTGTTTACATAATATATGCATGTGTGCTGTGTGTATTTATTATGTGTATATATAAGTACACACACATGCATGTATATATTTAAGGCAAATATAATAAAATATATAATATAAACTAAGAATATAAATATATACATGTAAATATTTTTTAAATATATACTGTATGTGTGTGTGTGTTTATATATATATACATAATACATATACACAGTACACACGCATATATTATGTAAAAAACTTGTATTTTGGATGCGAGTAATAATTTGACCGCACTAATACATACCTACCTTCCCGTCAGCTTTGTGCTTTCATTGTTGCTGCTATAATGCAATGTGTAATGTGGCAGGAATAAGTTTGTGAACCCTTGGAAATACCTGGATTCCTCACAGAACGTGTTATAGACACACCATCTGTCTAACACTTTTATTGCATGCAGCAGTAATCATTCACAAAAGTAAGTGAACCCTTGAATGCCTTCACATTTAGTCATCTAGCAGACGCTTTTATCCAGACTTACAAGTGTAGCCTGCACTTGAACATCTTTCTCTGAATGTGGCAATTAACATTGTCCCTTTAGCTCCACATTTGGTGCGAGAAGGACGTTGTTTTGTAAAAAAAGAAACACTGGATCTGAGCAACAAACAGGAATGAAGCTCAGCGTGAGAGTATTTCACATCGGGATCTGGAAACAGTACCAAACCACAATTAGAAGAACTAGACTTTGAGAATGACACTGTTTTTATTATTTACTACTATTTTAAAGCATTTGATTTGCAGCGGTTAAAAAGCATCTGATCATAGGGATGTGCAAATGTATGTCATGTAATGTGGATGTGTTACGTCATATGGATTTTTTTCAAGGATTGCTTTGGCAAGTTTTTTAAACTCATTAAATTCTAATCAAACTTTGTTTTGGCCTGATTTAGTTTGCAATGACATTCTTTGATTTCACATGAAGTATATCGGAGTCTTCAGCGCTTTTCTGATTTCATTTATATGTTACTAGAGATGCATAAGTGCTTACAAGAAACAGCCTGAGCTTCAATAACTGCACCGCATCTTCCTTCTGATGCTTGATAATCAGTGCTTTGCATGACAAAAAAAAGATGTGAAACAATCATAGATACTACGAGGCTATAACGCTGCACTAGAGGAATTATGATTATATTACTCATTTGGAGTGTTTTAGTTTCACTGCTTCAATACTGCACTAATGGAACTGATAAGAGCTATGCTATTTCTAAACAAAACCAAGTGAGAGCTGCTGTTTTAGCTCTGTGCTACAGAAAGATGGGTATGATTATGTGTGAGTGTTTCAGCTCTGTGTGTCAGATATGAAGCAGTCTCTCACCTCGCGTCTGAATGCGGAAGTTGATCTTGCTTTCTGACGGGTGCGTGATGCTGTAGCCACAGAACTCCACGTCCTGACTGCAGAAACAAACCACACGCCTCAGACTACACACTGCTGACACACACACACTCCTCTGCTGTTACACAGATGCAAACAGGTGAGAAGATCCACACGCAATTTCTTTTGAAGACATTTGCTTTACATGCTCTTTTGTAGCTGCTTTAAGGGTTTTTTTTATTAGGGGTTCAAGCACGTAGTGCTGAAACCCTATTGTAATTGTAAGGATTTTTATTATTACTTTTCCGCCGTAAAACTGATCGTGCAGACCAAACCGTAAGGCCTAGAGACTTGAAACTTGGCCAGATGGTAGAGCTCAATTTGGGGAGAACCTGACAAAGACTCACACCAATCAGCCAATAGGGGGCGCTACAGCAAACAAAAATGTGAAATCGCTCATATCATATAAAAACCTACTTTCGTGAACTAGTCCTAGGTTTTTCGGCTGATCGAAACCAAACCACTGCAGAAATATTCTCTGGACAGTGAATATCAATAATTATCAAAAAAAATAAAATTGACTCACCATCGCATAGGGACGCCAAACCATTCATAAGGGGCGGGGCCAATTTTACTAAAATGACTATAACTCATGAACAGAATGATATCTTCACCAAACTTGGTACGCCTGTGCAAGAGCTCAATTTTTGGTCAAATAAAAAAAATTGCACAGCTTTGCCACTTGGTGGCACTATAAGATGGAAAAAAACATAAAAATGCCTAGAACTACGCAAGCATTAGTCCAACTGATCCGGAAATTGGTATGCAGTGTTTTTGTCCAATGTGCCATAAGTGTCTATGAGGACACTGGCGTATCTCAAAAAACACGGCTGCCATCGGCCAATGAAGTTTGAGCACTTATTAGACAAGGTTAACGGAGGCAGATCAAAACGAAACCCGGTGGGCATGTTCGACCCATGGCCCTAAAGGTCTGTAAGAATTTAGAAAGAAATCGGCCACTAGGGGGCGAAATTAAATTTTTGAAGTTCATAAATGATTGTATATGGCATGATTTTTCACACATACACTCAATCTTCATATCATTTGATAGATCTCTTCATGCTGAGAAACTTTGCCTCAAGAACCACTGCTGTCAATCAAATCTCTCATTAATTACTCTCCATTGTATTAAAATCCTACTTTTGCGAACTAGTCCTAGGTTTTTTGCTCAATCTCGGTCAAACCACTGCAGCACAATTCTCTGGACTCTCTAGATCAATAATTATAAAAATGATTTAGCTATAACGGGGTCATTTAGAAAAGGGGCGTGGCCATATATACCCAAAAGCCTATAAAACCTAAACTCAAAACAGTACAAAACTTGGTGAAAACATTTGGCAGATAACTCTTAACAATCATGCACAGTTTCATCAAGATTGGACTATAGGTGGCGCTATAACTGCTATGCAGGCTATTTAAGACAATATTGGCTGATTAGACCTGAAATGCAAAATGTTTGCCCTCTCTCTCTCTCTTCACCGTTCCCACATCTCAGACCTCAAATACATAAAATATTACCCTTTTTAGAAAGTTTTTTTAAAGTAAAGAGTAGTGCTGTCAAACGATTAATCGCATCCAAAATAAGTTTTCGTTTACATAATATATGCGTGTGTACTGTGTATATTTATTATGTCTATATAAACACACACGCATAAAGTATATATTTTAAAAAGATTTACATAAACATAACTAGGGTTGCAAAGGGGTGGACACTTTCCAAAAATCCCTGTAATATTCCCAAAAATTCTGGAAAGTTTCCAAAATTTACTGGAAATGTTCCACCTTTTTGCAACCCTAAACATAACACATTTTTCTTAAACATATACATGCATGTGTGTGTATTTATATATATATATATATATATAGACATAATATACACAGTACACATATATTATGTAAAAAAAACTTTTATTTTGGATGTGATTAATCGCTATTAATCGTTTGACAGCACTAATAAAGACTAAAGAAAATACTATACAAAACTTATTGAAACAACAGTTCTCTATTTACCCCCTCCCTCATAAAAACACTTTCTCACTGGATCTAAGCAAATCTCACCGGTGACCTATTTTGATCTGAAAAAGGTGAGTTGTCACAGAAAGGTGAGGGGTTTGCATCTATGCATTAGCACTCGTCTCGGCAGAAACGTCTCATTGATGTCATGAAGGCAATGCTAATGAGGGAGAGCCGATCGAAAGCAGACGCGATCGTGTTTAGTCGTGTACAGTCTGACCTCTTCATGATCATGTATCGGAGCGAGTTTCCCAGCGTGTGATCCTCTTCATGAAGCACAAACGTCACACAGCCCTCGTCTGCGCCGTCCGTCCGCACCTGAAACACAAACATCACTCATCTGAGTCCAACACGCGTGTGGAGAAACACAGGGCTGCTGGTCATGCACCAAACAGTACATCATTCACACAGAATGCCCACATTATCACAGCTGAGAAAATGAACTCACTCAGAGTTAAACTGCGTCAGAACTAGTTCATCTTGATAATGTCAGATAACTTTGATAGAAAGGCGTGTAATGAATTCAGCTGAACACAATTAGATAATACCAATTTAGCTAATTACCAAGCAATGCTTCATTCTGTTCAGTCTGTGGTGGAAAAACATCGCATTAGCAATTAAAGAACAAACATGCTCAGGGCAAAGCTTCTGAATAATTTTTGGTCCCAAATTTTACCGTTAGTTTTGGGTATAATATGTCACGGTTCGCTTTATTTTGCTATCCTCACTTACATAAATGAACTATAGTGTCCTGCACCCACTAGTACAATAAAATATCAAATGATATCTGCTCTCTGAATAATTCTTGGGTTGACTGTATGCATGCATGTATGTATCAGGAATAATAGCATGGCAACATTAACAGTATCATTTCCATACATCATTTACAACAATATAACATTTCCTTAAGAAGCAATCGCTACAAAAACATACAAGTAACAGCAACGGAACTGATACAAATCAGAAAGAATCTTTCAATTTAATCAGTGAGAAAAATTCTAAAGTTCTTCCTGGAAAGACCTTTTAAAAATGTCTTTTAGCATATTTTCTGAGTGAAGACGTCGTCTTATATCATTCTATTAAAATAGGTTTTACACTTGAATAATTCGTACACAAGTCACAGACTGCTTTCTCTTCTCATTTGAATAAATATGAATGAGGGAGTCTTGAATGTGCAACTCTTGCATAAACGACTCGTCACATCTATTTCAAAACAGTAGTTACTTCTTTCATTTACTACTGGATTCACCTCGTATAGTTTGCTGTATATGCATTAATTCCAAGCCATTCACCATGTATTATTATTAATGCACATTTTTATTATTTCTCATAAACTGAAGCCAAGCGCTTTGTTTCAGGGCAGAAGAACCGTTTCGGGTTGAGAAGTTTTCACAGCTGGGTTTTTTAAGTGTTTGTGACATCCTCTACAGATTAAACGGAGCTTTTAAATCTGAATAATCTTCACAATGTCTTTTAGCATATTTTATGAAGACGTCATCTTATATCATTCTATTAAAATAGGTTTTACACTCGAATAATTCGTACACAAGTCACAGACTGCTTTCTCTTCTCATTTGAATAAATATGAATGAGGGAGTCTTGAATGTGCAACTCTTGCATAAACGACCCGTCACATCTATTTCAAAACAGTAGTTACTTCTTTCATTTACTACTGGATTCACCTCGTATAGTTTGCTGTGTATGCATTAATTCCAAGCCATTCACCATGTATTATTATTAATGCACATTTTTATTATTTCTCATAAACTGAAGCCAAGCGCTTTGTTTCAGGGCAGAAGAACCGTTTCGGGTTGAGAAGTTTTCACAGCTGGGTTTTTTAAGTGTTTGTGACATCCTCTACAGATTAAACGGAGCTTTTAAATCTGAATAATCTTCACATGACTGAACTAGAGCTGCAACACTGGTTTTATATGACTGATTCATTTATCATTTCATTTGATAGATTGGAATTTACTTTCTTTTTATTACTTAAAAAACACATTATTCCACATGCATAATGTTGTCCTCCAAACAATGTGCGAACTGAAGGCTATGAAAACGCACAGGATCTCTGCTGTCCACCTTAACTTTAATTCAGCTATTATATTGGCTGAACAAAACCGCTTGTGATGTTGCAAACTGGTCTTTCTTATCTTCTTTGAATGAATGCATTGTTGCATGAACACACTGGTTTGTAGCACTAACAGTGTTACAGTTATTTCCCCGTAACTGCTAATCAATCACTTCTGCTTGGCAAAATAACGTGAACGACTTTATGTGCAAAATAAGGGTTAACACATAAATATCATGTTCCAAGACAAAAACACTTGCTTTTGTAAAATAAAAAAAAATAGGCTACAACTTTAAAATGTGAAAGTTAAAATTGCTAAATTAAAAACTGAAATAAATGAACACAAACTAAATGTTGGCACATTCGTTCACCTGCACAGAGTAGTATTAAATATGATTTTTGCATATGATAATCATTTAGGTACTGCTCTCAGAAAAATACAGTAACTTGTGCCGGAGGAAGAATTGCACACCTACATGAAATGTCTAATTCTAGTCTTTTTTTATTTTACTGACAACCCCATTTATATATATATATATATATATATATATATATATATATATATATATATATATATATATATATATATATATATATTCTCTCTA